ACTCAATAGACATTTGATGTGAATTCATGCATAGTATGAGTAATGTAAAAAAGTGAATAATGCATATAAAAACTTTGAAAATAATGCGATTATCGGAAACTTGATCACTGGATTATGACCACACCACCGTCCCATAGATTATCAGACCCCGATATTCTTAATTTAGCATGGTAAACCTATATAATCATGTAGGTTTTATTTATTAAAGAATTGTACAGCCGATGACCCCGCATTGTAAGTATCATTGACTGTATTAATAATTATAAAATTTTATTTCAGTTTAGTAGGGGGTGGTGGTGTAGGGAAGTGTTGACCGCCCGACACCTACCAATATTATGGTAGTTATTGTCATGGTTTGCGGGCAGTGCCCCAAATAAACTGACCTAAAAAGGCGGTGTCCGGTCGCACTGTGCGCTCAATGGATAGGTCGACAAATCCGGCCGACTCTATGGGTTCCCATGATTTTCGTACTAGGTGACAATTGCCATATGCATACCGGCGCATACCATTGAATAGGTACTGACTTAATATAAGCAACTTCTCGGTAAACGTGTGGCCGTTGTGTAGGCAGTGCTCGGAAAAGTATATACGTCCACCCTGGTAATAGTTTAACAATAAAAACATTAAGATTAAAAAAATTCAATTTCTATTAGGTTTGGCCATGGTGAATTTGTTTATAAATTTAACTGATATATTTCAGTAAATCTCACGTTGATATAGTTTAATTGTTTTTTTTAACTAGTTTATAAAGTAGTAATAATTCTTGCGATTCTAATTACCCTGATGTTCAAGAATATGATTCTGATGTTGAACTTAGTGTTATGTAAATCCAATGCATTTATAATAATATTCCACACAAAATAAATAAATAAATTCGCTGAAAATGCCAACCTTAATTTGTATTTATTTTTGAAAACTACTGACAACCCTATGCCTTAATTTAAATAAAATGTCTTACATTAAAGCCAACTTCACTTAACCTAAACCAACTGTAAGTTTAAGTTTGAGTAAATTTAGCTTTAGTGCAATACAGGGGCCGACAGACAGGGCCTGTTGGCCTGAGGGCTGAATCAGCCGTTCCCTACAATATATACCGGTTTCAAAACTCTCATAATCTCGTCGACGGCTTTCGTGGGACTGGAGACCGAACACAAGACCATACACCAGACCACGACATCCATCGTGTTGTCCCCGATTTGGTGCATATTTTCGGCGTCACCCACGATGTAGTTCACGAACTCCAGTGTCGGGTATTTACTGAGATTCTGCCGGAAAGTGTGGATTACAGTCCAACGCGTAGCACTGGCAATTATCCGGGTACTTTGAGAAAAATCTGCCCGCCCCTGGACCTATTTCGAGTAGTTTCTAATGGTGCGCAAAATTCAAAGTAACCAGTTCATTTCAATTATTATCGTTGAAAAACATTGAATGTTTACAATTGGGCTCTTATTCATTAAAAACGATACATCCGTTTTGAATGCAACGTAAACTGTAAACATTGTACTAACGCTACGCTAACACTACTCACCGTTATTTGTAAATCTATTATAATTTATAACTTGATTAAAACAACTTATTTAAAATTCTAATAAAATTATCAATTACAAATACATTAGTTATAATTTTCTACTATATCCTATTGACCATAAATTTAAATTAGACATGCTCATATGCTCATAATTACTCAATTAATAACATGGCATTTCAGTAAACATACCAACTTATGGCCATTGCATGGTGGTGCCATAAGTCTCAATCCATCGTACCAGGGTAAGGTAAATGAGATCTCCTTGTCAAATTTAGCATAATTATTGGCAAATTGAATGTCCCGTTGTTCGCGCGTTAAAAATAGTACCATGATACATTTTATAGGATAGCCAAATAGCTTTGAGATAAATTCTTTGATGGAAAACATTGCATCGATTATACAAAATGGGTTTAATAACTATTTTGTATTAATCTATGTTATGTATTGTATATTAAAATAATTTTCAATTTAGAATCAATTTATTTAAGCTGAAAATATTTTTAAAATTAATTATCATTTGATAGTAATAGAAAATTATAGTTATAATGACAATTCATAATTTTTAGATTGCAATATTCAGATATTCACTGGATATATACTCAGTATAATACAAACAGCATTAAATATAAATATTATATTATGATACCCTAGATATTTTTAACAAAAAAAATTGTAAAATGTTTTTAAAATTGAATTTAATTGTTTATTTAATATGCATAATATATAGTAAGCTATTAAATGCTTACAATATTTTAAAAATAAAGTTAATTTGTAAAGAATTTAATTAAATAACTTAATATGTTACTCTAATTGTATATCATTTAATATCAGAATATTCGTAACTAGATAATATTCACTTAAACATGCATACAAGCAATAGTATAATAAATATGTATCATGCTACATTGCAATGAATGCAATTTCATAAAACTTAATCTAGACAATTTTTGTATATTAAATGTTTAATTTGAAACAATAAAACAATTTAACCCAAAAATATTTGTAATTTTGGTCAATATTGTCAAGTAAGCTTGATAATTGTTTATCTATTAACTCACATGTTTAAAAGAATTAACGTCTTAATTAGTGTTAATATATAAATAGCAAAACTATGAACAAATTTTAAAACTTAGATT